CGAGTCTACACACACCAAGATCTTCATAATCCAACAATAAAACAACCTGCAGCACTTAATGACAGAAACCTCATGTAATTGTGGCACTCACAGCCCTTTACAGAGATTCTTTGGAGCTTACAATGGGCCACGTACTGCCCAATCCATGTGTCCTGTTCATCACCGCTACAAAAACTAACTCGGGCAAGTGAAGTTCCCCTTACGAACCATAGCAGACTTTGTCCCTAAGGGCTCCTGTAAGACAATTGACAGTATTCCTGCCCTTCTTCCTACATTATCAGTGAACACTATCTTTTTTTTTATCAAAGGATAATTAAGCTCCATAGAAAAGAATCACAAACTAAAATATGACAATATGAGAGCAGGCAACTGAAAGATCAAGCTACTGTACCATCCTCCCATGACTGAAAACAGGCATTAACACACCCATGCTTCTCCTCTATGGTAAAGGGAGGAGAAATCACCACTGCAGCTATCCTGTCACCACAAACAGCAATGGAAATGATTACGAATTCTTGGTTATAGGGCCTGCGTGCCTCAGTTTAAATCACCGCCATCTCACTTACATACTTATGCCTTAATTCCTGCTCACAAAAGCAGAACGGGGACATTGAGAACAGAACATTGTTCTGCAAAAAAAAAACTCGGAATATGCAGTGGTTTTTAAGCATCTGCACAGACTTTGGATCACCATCTATAGACCTACCCATTCCAAATCATGCCTTGGGAAATTCCTTCATTTTGACTTGGCTTAATGCACACTGCAAAGCTTACACAGTATTTATCCCTACCATCAGGACAGACTGGTTTCTTAGCACACAACCCATCACCCACAGCCTCCCTATGGGTCACAGGGCACACAGGTGTTTAGTAACATGAAGTAAACCACCATTGACCCTACACGAGAAGCAGCAGCATGAAGCACACTGCAGCGCAGCAACCCCTCCTCTGCTCACCCAAAGCAGACAAACTGGGCTTTGCTTTACACAACAAGATGCATTCCAGACCTTTGGAAATAAATACTGTGTACACAACCACCTGTTTCGGTTATCATGGAATGGTTTGGGTTCGAAGGGATGTTAACGCTCATCTACTTGCACGGGGCAGGGACGCCTTCCACTGGAGCACGTTGCTCCAAGCCGGCCTTGAGCACTGCCACCCTCCTAGGGAAGAGCATCCCGACATCCCACCTCCTGCATCCCTTCGCGCACACCGACCGCTTCCCCTACACGCGTCACCGCCGTAGCCCCGCCCCTCCGCAACGTCACCGCCCCCGCCGGTGGCGAGAGCCGCTCCCGCCGGTGACGTCGCATGGCGATACCGGGAGGCTCCGCCCCGCCCCGTCCCTTCCCCCCCCCGCCGGTTGGCCGCCGCCGCTCCGGGACCCACAGCAGGTACGGGGGGACCGGGGCACGGGGAAGGGGGGCACCGCGGAGGGGGGGGGGGGGGGGGGGGTACGCACGGCGCGGGGCCGCCGGCACTGACACCGCGCCCGGACGCGTTTCCGCATCCAAACGCATCAATCCCGACCCCCTGCGCCGGTATCGCCCCTCTCGCACCGGGACCGCCGATAGGCGCTGCTGGGATCGCCCTCCAGATGCTGCCATGCCCCCCCCCCCCGTGCATCATATGCTGGCCAAAACAGGAGCCTGTGCTCCCCAAAGCCTACACACCGCTGCCACCCTTTCACCCGGATGGGACCCTGTCCTACAAACAGGGGAGCCCGTACCTGTTGTGCGGCATAAAGACCATGGAAGATGCTTTATACCCCACAACCTCCATCTCCCTGACATGCCTCACAACACACCTGGCTAAGGTACATGAGGCATGTCAGGACCTCCCTGCCACCATGCGTGAGGCATCTAAGGGCTTCTCTGCCCCCATGATCTAATGCAGTGCTTGGACCCGACCCCTATAAGCCCCATGGTTGAGCAGGGGCTGCAGAGGTGGGACACCTCCCGCAACCAGTCACACTGACCCTTTCTCTTTCCTGCAGGAGCCACCATGGACCTGGTCCTGGCTGCTGCCGACCAGCACATCCTCACACCCTACGTGTATCCCTCCGGCTGGCCCGAAGGCGAGCCCTTCCGCCAGCTCCTCAGCCTCTTCGTCATCACCAACCTGGGGGCCCTCGCCCTCTACCTCCTCTTTGGCACCCTCAGCTACTACTTCATCTTTGACCATGAACTCAAGAAACATCCTCAGTTCCTAGAGGTGGGTGCACCCCAGGCCACCCCCCCTGCTTTTCTCCCATATATCAGCCCCTGCTCATGGGATCATAGAATCACAGAATAGTTTGGGCTGGAAGGGACCTTAAAACTCATCTTGTTCCAAGCCCCTGCCAGGGGCAGGAAGGGCAAGGACACCTTTCGCTAGACCAGGTTGCTCCAAGCCCCATCCAAACTAGCCTTGAACACCACGAGCTTCTCTTGCCAACCTGTTCCAGCATTTCACCATCCCCATAGTAAAGAATTTCTTCCTAATATCTGATCTAAATCTTCCCTCTGTCAGTTTACAACTGTTCCCCCCTGTCCTCTCACTGCGTGCCACCATTTCTTGTATATTTCTTACAGATTTCCTGTAGGCCCCCCTTTAGATATTGGAAGACAGTTACGAGGTCTCCCCTGAGCTTTCTGTTCTCCAGGCTCAACAAGCCTGACTTAATCCCCTCCTCAACCTCCAAACCGAGCCCCTAGAAGCCCCCTAAAGGCACCGAGATAAGCTCAGAGACCACCCCTGACATGAGTCTGGCAGAGATGCCAGACTGCCCTGTCCTCCTAAGGTTGGGACTGAACACTCCAGTTGTGGGTCACCCCCTGCCCCAGTAAACACCCAGCCCTACCAATAAACTCATCACGTCCCACTCTCCACCGTCAACAGCCACAGGCTGCCTCACTCATCCCTCTGGTCCCCATCCATGCCCTCATTCATTCCTGACCAGAAACAAGTACCATCTGCACAGTGCATTAGACCCAGCACCCTGTCGTGCTGCGGGCATGGCTTTCCACAGACAGGCATCACACTGTGCCCCACACCACAGCACACATATCATGAGAGGCTGGGACATGGGGGCTCTGGGGGCTCTTGCCCACCTCCTGCAGTACCCTCGCCCCCCAACCGCTCTCTCCTGCTGCATCCTCACAGAACCAAGTGCAGCGGGAGATCACCTACGCGCTGCGCTCCCTGCCCTGGATCAGCGTGCCCACTGTCGCCCTGTTCTTCGCCGAGGTGCGGGGCTACAGCAAGCTCTATGACAACATCCAGGACTCCCCGTATGGTGAGCTGCTCCCCTGTGTCCCCAGCCAGGCCAATGCTTTGGCTAGTGGCATGCCCCTGTTTCTCCTGATGATGATGCACCTTGTAAGAGTCCAGAACTGTCCACCCTGGTACCTCCTGCCTCCAGCTGGTCCCACCTAATAGTCACAATCCCAAGTTCCCCTAAGGACAGCATGAGGAAGTGACCATCACCCTTGGCTTGGGGACAGACTGATTGACACATGTCCCACACCACAAAATAAGGCCTTCACTTCCCTGGGTGCTGCTCCCAATAAACCAGTGCCTGGCTCACTTTTTCCAAGTCCCAGGAGACTGTCTGACCCTATCTCCCTGGTGGGACAGACCCCAGTGTGCCTCCCTGGCCCCTGCAGACCCCAGCTCCTCACTGCCTTCTAGCACCCCTAACGCTCCTGTTCCCCCAGGCTGGTCCGGTGTCTTCCTCAGCATGCTGTCCTTCCTATTCTTCACTGACATGGGCATCTACTGGATACACCGTGGTCTCCACCACAAACTGTTCTATAAGGTACGAGATGGGTCTGGTGGGTTCCAGACAAGAGCCCTCATCCCATTCCAGGGCCATGACTAAGATGTTCCTCCCTGGGAGCATGTGGGTGGAACAGTGGGGTTGGTGTGGCTGTAGGAGGCCACCTCAGTCCACAACGCAGTGGGAACCAAAAGCCCATGAGGGTGTACATCTTTCTCTTGCCCTTTGAGTGGTGACAGCCCCTGGGCAATGAGTTGCCCCGGCCAGAAAACCCCCTAAAAGAGGGCACCATCACCATCAGCCTTGAGCACTGACAGTGCACCTTCTCCCTGCAGCGCTTCCACAAGCCCCACCACCTCTGGAAGATTGCGACGCCTTTCGCCAGCCATGCTTTCCACCCTGTCGATGGCTTCATGCAGAGCCTGCCCTACCACATCTACCCCTTCCTCTTCCCCCTACACAAAGTCACCTACTTGGGCCTCTACATCTTCGTCAACGTCTGGACCATCTCCATTCACGATGGCGACTACCGCGTCCCTCGCCTCCTGCGGCACATCATCAACGGCTCAGCCCACCACACCGACCACCACTTGTACTTTGACTACAACTATGGGCAGTACTTCACCCTCTGGGACAAGATCGGTGGCTCCTACAAGAGCCCCACGGCCTTTGAGGGCAAAGGCCCCCACGATTACTTGCGCAAGCTCCGAGAGAAAGAGCCGGGGGTACCCAATGGTGCCCCGGCTTCCAAAACTGAGTAGGCTTTCCCAGCCTATTCCTTCTCTGGGATGAGGTTCCCCGGCTGCATCTCATCCTGTTCCTCCCTGGCCTTGAGACTACTTTCCTACAGGCAAAGAGCCCCTGTCCCTTGATGGCATGACTGACACAGGATGATTCGTGGTGAGCACTCTAGCCTTCCTCCCTGCTCCCGAAACGGCGGAGTCCAGCCTCACTCTACATTACAGACCTGCCCTGCTCCCCCTGTTCCAATTCAGCTGCCTTTGGATCTCTACTAAGGTCCCTTCAGTACTGTGCTGCTGCTTTACAAAAAGAACAATGGCACAGATAGAACAATAACATGGCACAAGCAGAACAATAACACGCTCGCAGCAGGGTCTCCATTCGTGTGTGCTCCATGCCTTTGTCGCCGATCCGCCGCTGCCAACACGGAGTCCATTGGGATGAGTGCAGTCAAGTCCGGCCAAGATGCTGAAGATGCTGCTTTTTGGTTTTCTGTCTCTTTTGAGCTGTGTGTCGCGAAAAAAAGCCGCAAACACCAACCTTTTGGAATGATGTGGATCCTCCCCATGGCTCCTCAGCGCGGCCTCAGGACGCAGCGTGATTCCTCAGTGCTCGACATGCTGTCATCCTTCTTCTCTCTTAGGGATGTCCTGCAGGGTGCTGAAGGGGTGCATCCTGGAAGCAGCATCCTGTAGGACAAAGAGAGGCATTGAGTCCTGTGGGTCCCTAGGGCTCCCTGAGGACATTGGGTTTGGGGAAGGAGTAGGAGCACAGAAGGAAGGGGTGGGGGCTGCTCTGCTCTTGAGGGCTCGTGGCTGGTTTTTCCTCTTAATGCCCGATGTGCTTCCTGCTGAAACCCGGTCATCCCACTTTGGGGTCTGACCTGCATTCAATAAATCTTACTTGCCAACTTGGCTGTTGGATGGTCCCTTTGCTCTCGCTCCTAAAGCCATTCATGTCACCTGAAAAATAGAATATATAATATTCTATTGTTAGAATAGAAATTAAAATAGAAAAATAGAACATACATCCAGACTGATGCAAAGCTGTGAGGGTGGGCTGGGACTTCACCAGAGGCTGTTCACATGCAGCACGTGGACAGTGCTGGAGTATAGGGCACACGTATGTTTCCCTGGCATGATACAGCCAGGCTCCTATGCCCGGTGAGCCCCCTCCAGGGTTACAGCGACACAAAACCCCTTAGAGCAAAGGATTCTGCTGTTCCCTGCAGAAGTATGCTCTATCTCAGCCATCCCACAGGCAAGATACAGCTCGAGGTCACATCGCTGCACCACGTGGCACCCAACAGGATGAGAGATGCCTGTGCCGCAAGGGAAAGCCTGCCCTGGGAGGTCCTGTTCTCCTGCTGGTGCAGTCACCTGCCTGGGCCATGCTGTGCTTTCACCTCCCTGCACAGCTTGCTCTCCCCCAGCTGCACAGGGAACCCTGACCCCTGTTTGCTGATTAACTTGGAGCCCGGAGAAGTGCCAAGGGTCAAGGCAAAGCCCACGTCAAATCACAGCAAACCACCACGGTAACCTTGCCCTAATGTTCCCTGACATTAGACCCTTGGGAAAAGCCTTAGGCTCTCTCGTCAGCCTGTCTGTCTGCCTTCAGTAAGCCTAATGCACAGCAATGGGCTTGCCAACCCCTAAAGTGTGCACAAAACCATTGCCAGGGTGGTCAGGCATATACCTTGGAGCAGGAAATCCGTGGGAAGACACTTGGGGAGTGAGAAGCAGTCGACAGCCAAATGCAGTTATGTATTTGGGACCCTGGTGCTGCTGTTACCACAAGATGGAGATGTTGCACACCAGCAGCAGGAGCTGCACCTGCATGGCCAGCCAGCCTTCCTCCTCCTTGCTGCCCCAGAAGCATGGGGCCCAGAGACAGAAAAGGTTTTGCTGTGCTGCAGGATGCATGAGCGGCATCCCGGAGCTGCCAGACACTGCCTAAGGCACGGCTGGTCTGGGCTCACAAGACAGCACACTACTGGCTTTGAATGTCTTATCCGGGGTGGTTCCTCGGGACTGAGGGTTTATAGCCTGTTAGTGCTGAGCGTATGCTAATGCCTTTGGATGTTTGTCAAGCACAAAGGCAAGGGAAGGCACAGGGAAATCAACTGCACTGGGGCGAGAGCGCGCTCTAAGATTGCAGCTCCTTGTGCCAAGGTCACTGGGACTGTTAGACCTGCCAGACAGCCACTGAAGGGCCCCTCTGTGGCAATAATTCCCTGGGCTGAGGAGAAAACCTATCACACAAACCATAATAAGTACTTTAGTTGCAGAACAGATCCACAAATGCCCCAGGCATCCCCAGCAGGCATCCCCATTGCTTTAGCAAACTACAGCATCATCAAGGGCCCACTTTACCAGGGGAGATGTGCCCTCATCCTTCCCACATAAACCAGAACAAAAGCAAATTCCCAGCTCTGCTCAGAGACCTGCTCATTGGACACACACCTTGGTTTGCTCACGGGCTCTCATCCCCAGCATCCCCACTTGTTGGGGCTCAGATCAGGCTGTTTAAACACTCCCCAATTCCAGCAACATGGAATGAATGCATCCTTTAAACAACTCTACCCACAGTCTCATTGAGGCTCTGTGGGGGGCTGCTGTTCTGGCCCCCGTGGTCCTTTAAACCCTCCAAAACCTCTAGAGCTACACCAGGAAAAGGTGAATGGGAGAGGGGAAGGAAACCTGGGGGGCCAGGGGCTCCTCGCCTTGCTCTTGGAGTTCACAGTATTTGCTGCTGATGAAATCCAGATGGACCTTCAAATCAACTCTGCTCTGCTGCCCCTCCCCTCTACAGCAGGAGCCTTTTTCTTTTCAAGAAACAAAAAAATACCTTGGCAAAGGAAACGTGTGTTTCCCTGCACACAGAAAGAGCTATTCATCTGCTAGCATTTACCAGCACTGCATTCACCCAGGCAGTCCTTGATACCACCCTTGCACCCACCACAGGGACCTGGCACAGGGAGTTCCAAGGCAGGAGCAGGAACCATTGCTTGGAGTGCTCAACAGAGGCCAGGAGGAGGATGCTGAACCCACCACTCATCAAATTCCTCCCTTTACAAAGTGCTAACAAAGCCAGTTGCTAATTTCTTACTATTTCTTATCCTATCCTCACACTATTCCTGATTTTTGGGAGGATTTGGCAAAGAACAGTCATTTCATGTGCAATGGGATGGACACCCGGACATGGCAGTGCTTTTGGGAATGATGCCATGGCCTTTTTGGGTGCCTCTCAGCTGCCCACTCCAGAGTGAAACTGGGATTCCCATGCAATAAAACTCCCTCTGCCCTTACCCATGGTGACCTCCAGTCCTCTGGAGGGACATTACACTGAGTGAAGACCGCTAAAAGCTTTATTAGGAGGGCTTATAATTGTATTGACTTGGTAATTGAAATACATTAACTAGGTTTCTAGGTGAAAGCACCTCAGGGAAAGCACTGGACAATGTTTCTGCTGTTAAAGTAAGTGAAGGGAGGGGGAACGAGACTGCCTTGGTGCTGTCCATGGGATTTAGAAACTCCCATTCCTTCACTGCTGGGTCACATCCATTGTCTTTGAAGCTTTCCCAACAGTGTTAGAAATACCAGGACAGCAGCAGGATCATCTCCCTTATGCATTTATACCACACAGACTTCACACATCTTTGGCTATACGAAAGAGACATCTCTACTGGCTGCTCTTCTTTCCCATGACACGTAAGACATCGCAAGGAGCCTCAAACCAATGCATGGAAGACCATTGCTGCCCCAGTTGCATGGCTGTGCAAGGCTGGTGGGTGTTTAAAACCAAAGGGGGCTTCCTGGGAACAGAAAATAAAAGACCAGAGAAGCTGATTAGAAGCTGACCTGGAGAAAGCAGAGGGACCAGGTACACTGCTGTGAGCAGGACCTGTGGGAGCGAGCAGCAGAGAGCTTCCAGGAGGCTGGAAAGGGTTCCAAACCACAAGCCAAGCAGATCCTGAACACTTAAACCTCAGCCTGGGTGCTTGTACGAACAATCACGCCACTTCCCACTGATACTGGGGGTACTTTAGGCCTATGGCTGAGGGTCACGCACTGCTGGGGAGGAAAAGTGCAGCTTTGCTCTTCTGGGGGAGGGTGGGTTGAAACCCTCACGCATCCCCGCAGCAGGAAGATGCTGCAATGCTTTTGACGCGTTTTGTTTTGAGTTTATCCCATTGACTCTCGTGCAATTTCCCTCCATCTCTCGTCATTCCGCTTGGCTTCATTCCAACCCCATCCTTTCCCTGTACCTCGCTCGGGTCCCGAGCATCCCCCCCCCGAGGAGGGCGCAGCGCCTTGTTCCGGGGAGGGGACCCCGCGGGGAGGGTTGGGGGGGGAGCGGCTCCGCTGCCCATTGCACATTCTCTCCGGGCGGCGGCGCGGCGTCTCCGCTCCGCTCCGCCCGGCCCCGGCCGCGGCCCCCGGCGGCTCGAACATGGCGACGCGGAGCAGCGGCGGGGAGCGCCGGGCCGGGCCGTTCCCCCGCCGCCTCCTGCTGCTGCTGCTGCTGCTGCTGCTGGCGGCGGGCGGGCACCCCGCGCTGCTGCTGCCGCCGCCGCCGCACGCCGACCCCGCGCCGCAGCCCATCCAGGTGTACGGGCAGGTGAGACGCGAAGGGGATGGGGGCACCGGGCGCGGTACCCACGGGGCTGGCGGCGGGGAGATGGAGGGGGTCCCCCCATAGGGATGCCCGGCGGGCCCTGGGTACGGGTCGCTGCCCCGTTCGAAGCGCGCTGCTGATCCCTGACCCCCTCCGCTTCCCGTTTCTCCCAGAGCCTTCCCAAAGTAGTGGCACTGCTCAGGTTTGCGGGTTATATTCCGGGGTTCGTTTCCAGCGGGAGCTGCCGGGTGGCCAAGGGCATGCGCTAGGGAGATGGGCCAGGTTGTCCCCTCTCTGCTAGTTCTCCGGATGGGAAGCGATTCCCTGCTGCGGGCGGTGGGCAGCAGCTCCTCACCCAGGGATGCTCTTGGTGAGCATCTCGATGCTCAGGAGCTGGGCAGAGGGAGGTGGCTGATGGAAGAGGCACCGTGACCTTCTCCTTAAGAAGGGCTCCTCCACTGCATTTTTAATCCATCCTCTACTGCTCCTTGAGAAAGAGGGGGAGAGGACTTGCTCATCAGAAAAAAAAACCATAGAAACTGCTATTTCTGAAAGTATCCCTTCTTGGGCTTGATTCATTGGCAAGTTTTGCTGGCAGGACCCTAAAGGCTCCCCCTTGCCCTCCCTTTTCCACACAACCATCACTTTAGGGGTGATAAGGAATTATACTCGAGCTGCCCGGGTGCCTGCAATGGAAAGCTTCAGCCTTAAAGATTCTGCCCCACTTAACCCTCCTTGCTTATGCTGCCTGTGTCCTATCATGTGTCTGAAAGGCTGCTAGAGGGGGGACACGGGGACACCAGCCGGCAGAGGAACATCTGCATTTACCTCCTTAGATAGCACTTTCACTTTTGGGTGCCCTATGATTTCCCCTTTTTGTTACTTGTAGGATGAGAAAGAGCCGGCCGTGAGGCAGGGCTGGCTGCAGAGCTGCTCGAGGGGCACACAAGGGGCTGGTGCTGCTCCTAAAGCCCTGCTCTCATTTCCCCATGTAAAGGACAGAAAAAGCTGTTCCTCCTTGCCTTGAAAATCTGCTTCGCCTCCTCTTCTACCTCCTCAACATTTGGCTGGGTTTAGCATAACTCAGCTCCCCCATTTTAGAACAAACATGGCACTTGGTTCTCATCCACAGCAAGACATTTGTGGCACTTGCCCTTCTGTCTCCCCATGGCTTTCATCTCAGCCACCTGCCCGGGGCAGGTAAAGAGCTGCTTTGGTAGGAGCAGCCGCTATTGCTTGGTCATACAGCTGCAGCTAAAAGGCAGTGCAGTAACCTTGGTGCTATCCACAACAGAACTAATAGGAAGCAGTTCAACAGTTTGCCACTGTTTGGTCTTTCCTTGTTGCCTTGAGCTTTCAGAGGGGATTTGCCTGGAGAACAGGATGTACGAGTTTTAAAGCCCAGGTCCTTCGTGTCACCAGGAAGAGTTTATTGGCACTACACAGGGCTTTAAATCAGGGTCTGCTTTAATAAAAAGGGACAAGAGGGAGCCTGTGTGTCCTAGCCCCTGTACAGATCTGACCGCATGGAGATGCTAACACCTAGGAAGCCAGAAAGCTGTGCACGTGATGCTGAGGGGTCTCACAACTTGTCACAAGAACCTAATGATCCCCAAGTCCTCTGGGCACTGGCACCAGAAAATCCTGCAGTCAAAAAGTGGTCCTGTATCAGGGACATCATCATAAGAAGCAATGCTTGGACCGAGCATCCTAGTGCTGTGCTACTGCAGTCCCTTATCTGGGACACATCCTGCTCCTGTGCATTTGGCAGGTTGTTTAGCCATATGCTACGTGCTGGCTTGTGCCCTGAAATTCCCTGCCCTTCCCCAGCTCTCAACTGTGGTCTGAACACAGCCTCGTAGGACAGCTTAGAGCCCAGCCTAGCTCTGAGGTTAAGGAAAGCACAGTGCAGAAGGTCAGTGCTGCCTGTTGCTACCATGGGTGATGACGCTGGGGGACCAGAGCAAGAGGGAAGGATGCCTCACACAAGCCACAAGCAAGGAGAGGAAGAAAGTCCAAACCCTTGTGGCTCCTCAGGAGCCAAACACAGTCAGTAACAAACACAGGCTCAGAGCCCTCTTGCCATAGACACCAAAGACATAAGATTCCTCGTCCAGATCCTCACCATAGATCACATCCTTGCTGGGCAGGCTTCCGCAGCTTGCATGTGTGGCAAAACTTTCTGGAACCTCAATGAATAAGATGACCAGCAGCCTAAAACCCTGTGCCTTTGTAGCTTTACCTCTGCTTTTCTCACTCCAAAAGCACCAGCAACCAAGACACCAAACACACGATTCCAGATACCATCAGCTTTGAGACAGAGTGGGTTTTGTTCCCTTGCACAGCCCTCACTTCTACGGGACTCTTGGCGAGCGTTACAGGGGACAGACCGGCACAAAGCAAGCACTCATGTGAGACAGGTCTTTTCTAGGCTGCCACTGACAGCAGAGGAGCATCCCCATGGCAAGACAAATGCTGCCTACACCCCCCAGGTTCAGCAGCACTCCCCAAACCCCTTCCAGCAACCACAGCACACACTGCTCTCCTTTTCCTGTTATAGGTCCCTGAATACCAAGGCTGCAGCTCACCTTCCAGTCCTTTAACAGCCTCCATGCTCTTGCCTACACATCCCTACTCAGACCTGGATAAGGGTACTTGGCTCCAGGGTTTTATATTTCCGGGGCACATCCTGTAAATCCTGTCCCCTCTTAGGGAAAACCAGCCATAAACCGCATCACCTGCAAGGACTTCACTTAATGCAACAGAGAAGGGAAAGAAAAGCAGCCACTTTGGCTGCCTACCTGTGTGCTGGGCTGAAGCATCTTCGGTGCCCATAAGGCTGGTGTCCAGCGAGTGTCGTGTCGTAGCTAGAACAGGAGGCCAGCCTCTGTCTGCCAGTCTTGAGGGGCAAGAGAGAGAATCACAGTTACAGAGAGCATTTACACTGCTGGGCTGCAAATACACACGTACAGGTCTAACCTTTGTCTGCAGACAGCCCTTTCCCTTCTTTGGAAAGGGCTTATCTGAAACCTCCCCCAAAATCATGCAACTCACAAGAAACCTTTGCCTTAAACCATGCTGAGACTAAAGGCATCTTATATCTAGCCACTGGCTGCTTCTGCAGCAGCCAAATCACCCTCCATTTTGCTGCTTTGAGGCCTTGAGACTCCCCCCCACCTCCTACTCTGTGCCTGGCCATCACCTCTGTGCCTCCCCATCCGCCGAACCAGCATTACTGCCTGCCCTAACAACCAGCGCATCTCCTTCCCTTCTGGGGCAATTGACTTCATTGCTCTCAAGCTTCTTGTTTCCTGGTGACATCCAAACCTGCCTTCAGTGCAAAGGAGAAGAGTGGCCTGGGTCATGTTGGCAAACTACCCTAAAACACTATGAGTTTATGATCAGGATAGAGCCTGAGCAGAGAGAGCTGAAGTTTCTCTTCTTCTGAGGCCATTAGGACATCCCAGGTAGGGAGTCCCACCTTAGCTCCCTTCCCTCCCAACCTGCAAACTGCCAAAGAGCCTTTCTTCTTTCAGAGAAGGAGAGAAGTGCAGGGCAAATGCCATCCAGCTATGTGAATGGACACATCAATCACTGCGTTGGAACTGAACCGTACTTAATTTTGACCTAGTTTGCCAGCCTGGCAGAGACCTTCCCAGATCAGACTTTAGATGATGGAGGTGCACTGGGTGGTGATGGCATGTCCTAACAAAGGGCTGAGGAGGAGAACTCCTCAGCCTTTTCATCCTTCCTCGTGTTGGCAGATAGCCCTTCCCATCACTGCATCTGCCCCTTTCCCAGCCGCCCTGCAAAGGTTCCCAGCTCCTGGCACTCACTCTTGTGCCTGAGCTTGCCAGGAGAGACAGGTCTTTGGAAGCTACACAATTCCTGCTCCTGGCAGGGTAGCAGCCAGGAAGGTATTTGTGGGTTTATTCATTGTTTTCCCTTCAGCAGGTTCCTCTCGGATCCTGCTGTTGGACTAAGCAAGCGTTGCAGCGTCCCAGAGGCATCGCTTAAGCTTCTGTAGCTGTAATAACCAGCTCATGGCACGCTTCACCGGCAGCGCTTTAGACCTTTTCTGCTGCTTTCCTCCGTGCCTTAGTTATGGAGGAGTGATTTTCAGCAGCACTTGCCCAAATTTACCAGCGCAACCTCAATTCTCTGTCATCCCCCAACCTCTGGGACCCTCTCACTGAGGGACCTGCTCATTTCTGGGGTAAGCAGGACTCATGCCTCAACCTCATCTCCCCCCTCCTTCCTCCTTAGGAACAACAGCTAACAGAGAGCTCTATTGCTGGTAGCAGAGAGAAAACAGCCTTGCAAAGCAGATGATTTCAGTATTAACAAAATTAACATGGGCCTGGCACTCTGTGAAATGAGTCACCCGTGTTTCATATCAATGATTTCAGACCCTGGCATTTTCAGTCCAAGCCACAAGCAGCGCTATGGCAGGCACAGCCTGTGTTTTCAAATACCACGGCAGGGCTAGAAGCAGATGCTCGGGCGCAGAGCAGAAGGTGCAGTAATGAAGCTTTAGTGGGAGCGTGGCGTGCCGGGAATGCAGCAGCCACCCATGACACTCGACTTTCCACGATGCCAGGCTATTGCGTAAGCCTTGCCGGGGGGGAGCAGAGGAAACCGGGACGCACAGGCCCGGCACTTGTCCACTGCAGCTTCCAGCGAGCTGGAATGATGAGGAGCCTGGTGAGAGCGCCGTGCCTTTTAAAGCCTGTGCTAACAGAGCTGCGACTTCACTTCTTACTCCTATCAGCAATAGCTTTCTTCAGCCCCATCCTCACTCCCCTGGCTATTGGGTACCAAATGTTTAGCTGATTCCCCTTCCACAAGCATCTCCTGACAGACTTCAAGTCAAGATTTGAGTTGCTGGCTAAACTTTGAGGGTTCCAACAGCCATTCATCACTACACAGACGCATTGCTCTGCAATGCCCTCACTTATCAAGCCATAGTAATAACCCATTAACTACTCAGAAATCTCCTAGGCATTATTTGTAGGCATCCCATCTCCACTTGCATAATCCGGACAAGAAAACACATAAATGATCCTCAGGTCTCTTTTTTCTGCACACCCCTGATTTTACAGCATTGAGCTTCAGTCCCTATCAGTCGCACTGCGTCACCTCCTGATTAATAGCAAGCGCCTGGGTCGAGCTGCGGTCCAAGTCCTATAGCCAGAACATTAATCCTCAACAGAGCAAACCCATCGACACACACAGTTAGCTTCCAAGCTTACTCAGCACCTAGAATAGCCCCTAATGCTGTCCTGACACTTGTCGCTGCGCACGGGTGCGAGGCACTGTTACAAGTCACTAGTGTAGCTGCTTGCAGTTCATCACAGCTAATGGTGTGATTTCTGCATGGGGATGTTCATACTTCCCACGCAGAGCATCTCGACCTCACTGGTGGTTCAAAGGCTCAGATTTAGAGTCCTTCAGTGATGGAAAGGCTTGAGATGCAGCCATGAGAGCAGCTATAGTGAGGTACCCATGCCACAGTCTCTCATCCCCTGGCCTGCTACCGCTGCATTCATCAGTGCAAGGGGTGAGCCACCCCTGATGAGCACTAACCTCTCTAAATCTGGGCATAACCAACTGAAAATGATGTGAGGGGAAGAGGAGCTGCCACTTAGGAATTGCAGGTGCTGAGGAACACAGGATCAGGGCACTCCCCCCAGCACTGGGTGCTTAAGGAGCTTGGCACTGCACACTTTGCACCCAGGTCCACTCACCTACCCGTTGTCATTGCCTCAGTAGGGCAAGGCAGTACTATTGTCTCAGCAGAGTACCACACATCCAGACAACATTCCCCCTCCCAGCCCAGGGTGGGTTGAGCCACAAGGGAGCTCTTACCTGCCCTGGGGTGTGCTTCATGGGACAGCAGCTCCAGGGGCTATTTTCTCTCCTCATTTTTGCAGGGGATTAAGTCATTGGAAGATACTGTTAGCAGAAAAATCAATATCTGGTGTGAGCAAAGCTAGCAGCATTAACTACATTAACCAGAGCTACAAACAGCCTCTGCTATGCCTTGGCTCCAGTTCTCCCCTCCTGGACTTCCTTTGGCATCTTGCATATTAGGAGGACAAGTTAGAATTTCATGCATATTTCATATACACTTAATCACTTGGCAAAGACCAAAGCACTTCCCCATTAAGAGGAGTTTATGCTAAATGATGTTTCTGTTAGGTACCAGCCATTGCCCTTTCATAGGTTAAACCAGTTCCTGAGAAAGGTTTCCCCTGTTAGGGAAGCCTGGAACACTGAGCTTCTACCAAACAAACCTTATCCCAGCAAGCAGGGCAGGGTTACTCATGCTGGGGATAACCACAGCCTTATTGCAAAGCTAGGGCACAAAAAGCATCCTGGACAATGAGACATCAAGTGCTTTTCACTTGGGCCACAATGCCCCACGTGTCCTTTGCCAGACAGCAAAGACCTGGGGTCCTGTTTGTGGCTCCCCTGAGCCATTTGGGTCCCCACAAAGCTCCAAAGGGCCATAGCAGGGCTGCTGGCTGTGGTGTCCTGCACCAGGAACAGGCAGACACTAATGGGTGAGGCTCCTAAACCTGACAAGCTGCTGCATGAGCCCCTTCATGGGGAGTAAGGGAGACTTACAGCATAAGGCATCCCTCTGTTGTCTTCTCTCTCTTTACTAAGGCACGCTCCAGCAGTCTTCAGCTACTCCTAAACTTTCAGCTGAGCACAGTCCCTATGTACTCAGTGCTGCTTTTTGTTCCTGCCTCCTAAAAGAGGACCAAACCTTGTTCAACCCCAGTTTGGCCTTTATACAGGGGCTCTGCCCTAATTATGCTGCCTAAAGTCATATGGCTAATGAATAAGGAGGCTCAGCTGGCTCCAAAAAGCCCAGACAGGTGTCCTTGGCCTTTGGGACTGACACAAGTGTCCCTGCTCTGAGAATACATCTACCTGGGGCTTACCATGTCTTTTAGGCCATGGAGGGGAAAGCTGTAGAGCTTTATTGCTGAGCTCAAAGCAAGATGCAGGCAGGAGTCTCCTGTGGTTTTCAGGTTCTGAAGCTGTCCTAGTGCTGGATTTCCTGTAGAGAGCAAAAATGCAAAGTGCTGCTGAAAGAGAGATGTAGGAGATAACAGATGGGGTTATTCTGCTTTTAAAGGACAGGAGGGTGATTGGAGCTGGGAGCTGCTCTGGATTTCAAACCCAAAGCTGTCTCTATGGGCATCAGCAATTCCTTCTCTGCCCTGTTTCCCCTGCATCCTCAAACAGCATCGCTGCTTTATTTTCCAGCGGGCACACAAGGCTACTGCTGGCTTGCTTTGTAGCTGCTGCTGCCTGACCTAAATCTCTGCTGTGTTTGCTATCTGGGTACTACAGCATAGTTTGCATGGTGGGGAGGGGGTCCTCTGGCGAGGCAGGCAGTGTAGCTCGGAGCCATGGAGGTTTGATTAATTCCCCCCTGCTTATATGAACTTATTGCATAAGAGGGATTTGAGGGCTTCTGCTTCACTTGCACCCCTCTCTCTTCCAGAATAAAGACCTTGTTTTTCCCAAGCATTTTACTTGCCAGTCAGTGATGGAGGTTAAATCAGCCTCTTACCTTGTTGATCCTGGGGTCACAGCAGGAGCCACAGGGTACCAGGCCTAAGGAAGGCTTAGCCCTGTATTTTTACAGCTTCCCGTGAGCTTAGGAGTCACCAGCCATTGGCTGAGCTGCAGCTATAGTGGTGTGCAGGGGCTCAGGCATGCACATCCGTGGCTGAGCTATGGCCACTGCTTGCTGCTCATGGTTACTACAGGCTTGCCCAGAGGCTCTTGCACCCTCAGCTCCAGCCACAGTGGTGCTGAGATAGCTTCCCCATCAAAAGTGGTCCTTCATGACTGGTGCTGATACAGTGCTGCCAGGTACCAATGCACACACAGGGGATAACGGGATCGTGTATGGCTGCATTTGTGTTGGAAACCAGCACGTCCTTCATGGTACAGAAGAACTCGCTGCAGACCTGTTTCCCTGTGGCCCTTCACCTAGTTAGCCTGGATTTGAGATCCTATCTCTGTCCTTGGCTTTAGTTTTCATTCTCACATCTCCCAAATCCTATTTCTATAAAGGGAAAACTAGCACGCATATTGCCAACGCGCTCATGAAAGATGCTGCTTTACGTGGGGCCATGCTGGACCACCACTGTGTGGTGTGGAGCT